GCGATCAAGCTCAAGAATTCTCCGAATGGACGAGCGTGGACACTCACACGAAAGAAGGTTGATATCAGTACGCATGCAGTTTTGGACGAAGCAGGTAATGACCCACTTGCTGCAGTCAAACTAGTGGTAACTACAGTACGATAAGCGTGCGAAAGGATCGCACCACTACAGAAGCAGCAAGCGTTCGAGGAGTATTTCTTCCGAGGTTTTCGCAATCGAACGGAGTCTGTGCAGGACTACATATCGAGACGAGAGACGGAGTACGAGCGGCTCAAGTCACTTTCAACGAACGCGACAGTCAGCGAGGACCTGCGGACATACTTCCTACTGAAACTAGCGAACATCAGCGTGCAAGAGCACAAGGCAATCCTTGGCCAATGCAACAACGAATGCATCTGGGACGACGTGACGGCAGCCATGCTGATGCAGCTGGACAGCACAGGCCGAGATGATCGTGGACATGGACGATGCGGAGCCTACCCGGTGGACTACGACGACGAAGAGGAAGAAGCTCTGCTCGGAGATGAATGTACACCGTGCGATGAAGACGTTTTCCCGAGTGATGAGGACTACGACGCACTTGCAGCGGACGTCGACGAGTTCGAGGGAGTAATTGATGACGTAGACCCGGACGAAATCAGCCAAAAGGAGTGCGACACCCTGGCGACGGAGGCTCAACGTGTTGGCTGGAAAGCTGGACGGCGCAACCACAAGCCTAACTACAAGCGGGCCCGGGAGCGGCTTGCTCAGAGCAAGTCGACTAGAGTCTGGAAAGCCAACATCAACAAGCAGGGCTCTATCAAGATGGACAGCGAAGAGGCTGATGAGAAGCTGAAGCAGATCAAGGCGCGCACGAAGTGCAACGCGTGCCACAAGAAGAGCCACTGGAAGGGTGACCCCGAGTGCGAAAAGACGAGGTCACCAGCGAGTGGATCCAGTACGCTACAGCGTGGAGGACGAGGAGGCGGACGTGGAGGGCGAAGCTTTCACGGACGACCTGGAGGTTATGTACGACGAGCTGGATTCGCAATGGCGACCGCGGTCGAGCTGCTGATGGCGGACAGCTCGATGAACATGACCGCCATTCAGAGTGTCAGCGACCAGCTGGCAAGCATAGACGTGGCGATGGAGGAGATCACGAGTCTGACGAAGGTGAGAATCGACACCGAGGAGCACATCGTGAACACCTACGCGGTATCAGCAGCAGGAGACCAGCCGAACTTCCAAGAGAGGATCGACCAGGCACACGAACCATACCCAGTACCTGGAGAGCATCAAGCACAAGAATCTGGCGAACCCCTGAGCACTCCAGTGAGCTCAATGAGCAGACCGACGCCAGGGGCGTGGTCGAGGACAGAGCCCAGCAGACCAAGTACAGACTACCTGGAAGAAGACAACACAGATACCGACCTACAGAATATACGAGATCGTGCAGAGCAGATCGCAGCGTTGTGGGTAAGCTGCGGGAACATGGAAGCGGCCTACAGGGACTATATGGATTTCTGTTTGGACTGGGCCCTACATCGTTTCCAGCAGCTCATGCGCATCACCATGGAGATGGCACCTAACGGTCTCAGGAATCTGGCCTACGATCTGTGCCAAGCAGCCTGGGACAGGACCACGGAGCTTCGTGACGTCATAAGAAGTACCTGCGAGCGCCTACCGATTGGAGTACGACCGACATGGTTGTGGACGCAAAGCCGAGCTGGAACCAACTACGCTCCAGAGGGAGTTGGGCGGCAGCAACCTTGCGAGGAGCTGGGGGGAATTGAGGCCTACGCAGTGCGAAAAGGACCTATTCCAGATGGACATGCTGTACTGGACACTGCGTGCCTACGTGGATGTGGGGGTTCAATATCACTGGGCGGCTACGCAGAGGACGGCAGAGCCACCACGCGGACGAGAGGGTCATCCATGCGCTTCCGAGGCGTGAATGATAGCGCCCCGGTCATGGCAGAGGGAGAACAAGAGGTGACGGCTGGACTTGCTGGAGCTGACGTGAACCTACGCTTCCAGAGGTTGCCGAAGTCAAAGACGCCAATGCTGCTGAGCATCCACCAGCTGGAGGAGCTCGACGCAGTGATATACATCAAGGATCGGAAGGCGGACTTCAAGGCGATCAACAAGTACGGAGTGCCTCTCAACAAGACGGGGAAGGGGCACCTGACGATCTCGCTCAAGGCGTGGCCGAAGAAGGAGACGACAAAGATCGAGCCATCAGTCACGTCCGACGATATCGACATCTGGAATGCGGAGGTCCAGGAGATCGATAAGGGCATCCTACGACGGAAGCAGAGGAAGCAGATCGAGACGTGGGAGAGGGAGATTCAGGACAAGCTGAACCAGTGCCAGCAGATCGCGGACACGCTGAAGGCGGGCCCGGAGGAGAAGCGGCCCCTCATCTGCGCGCTCTACGCAGTGGCATGGCAGCCGCATCAGAAGCTCAGCAGCGGCGGCATCCAGTGACGAGGCCGAGGGGCATCCTGATCGGGGGCGACCTGCTGGACGCGAAGTCGCAGGAGACCGTCCTGAAGCAGCTGAACGAGGATGACCCCCACGTGACCATTGTGGGTTTCCCCTGCGACCCTCTCACGAACATATCCCACGTGTTCCCGAAGGACACAAAGATGCGCAAGTTGGCGATCGGCATGAGGCACCTGCAGTTTGTCAAGAAGGTCTGGCTCAACTGCAAGCGCCGAGGAGCTCATATGCTACTGGAAAACCCATTGACGTCAAGAGCCTGGCAGCTTATGCCATGGCTGGGTTCAGAGTTCGTGAACGCGATGATGCACCAGTGCGCCGAGGGCAGCAACCTGGTGGACTTCGTCGGCGATCCAGGCAAGAAGCTCAACAGCATCAGGTGTGACGAGCAGCACGTGCACACGAGCGTGATCAACGGGCCAAAGGGAACAGCATCGAGCCTTGGGAACTGGACCAGGGAGCTGTCCAAGACGATCTTGGACGGCATCGAAGATCAGCGGGGCCTCGAGAAGCAGCATGGTGGCTACGCCCGGTACGCCAACAGTTTCGACGACATCGGCTGTGACGAGTTCGAGGCATTTCTGCGGAGACGGAGGCGCCGATGCGCGCTGGCGCGGCGGCGGTCTTCAGCAAGCAAGGCGAGAACATCGAGATGTCGGAGTGGGCGGCGGTGCCACCCCTCATGCGAGCAGCTATCAAGAAGATACACGAGAGCCATTCACATGGGCCCTACAATGAGTCACTGGTAAGGTATCTGCAGCGTGGTGGAGCTAGCCGACGAGCGGTACAAGCAGCACGTCTCTTCAGATGCACGACGCGTGAAGAGCAGGCTCGGACGGCAGCGAGACCTACGGCAGCTCAGCCTAAGGTCAAGGACTTTAACGAAGCCATCAGCATGGACTTCATTATCATGCCCGACCTGGGCAAGAACATGCACGTGGTGCTTGTTATCGTGGACGTGGCCTCGGACTTCACCGCGGCGATCTACGCGTGTCCCGGATCGAGACCTACGGCAGAGTTAGCAAAGAAGGCTTTCGAAATCGGATGGCTTACCTGGGCCGGGCCACCGCGCGTCGTGGAGCAGGCCCAGGACTCTACCTTTATGGGCGAGTTCGAGACGCTGTGCAACGACCTGGGCATTGTGATCAACAGCGCGGCTCCAGAGGCTCACTGGCAAATGGTCAAAGCCGAGAGAAAGATTCGATACCTGAAGTAAATGGCAACGAGTGTCTTAACGCTGGGGAAGTTCGTGGTCAAGATTCGGTTGCAGCAGCAGTACGTGGCATGGCCAACGCGTGCAATCAACTTGTCAGCGCGGCAGGCTTCTCACCACAGCAATGGGTACTTGGAGCTTGGATGGGAAGGCCTGATCTTCGAGCCCGCGACCTTCATCAAGCGCAATGCGGAGGGCACGATCATCGGGATCATGTGCCTGCACGTGGGCGACTTCCTCGTGGGCATCAAACATGACGACCCGGAGGGCGCCAAGATCATGAAGGACCTGCAGAAGGATATCGACTTTGGCGAGGTCAAGTACGCAAGGAAAGAGCAGGCGACGTTCTGTGGCAGGGCCTGCAAGCAGGACGCGGACGGCAGCATCGACGTCACCATGGAGGCCTACGTGAAGTCGATGCAGACTGTACCTATCTCCAGAGAGCGCAGCAAGGTACCATATAGCGCCTTGACCTATGCAGAGCATCGTGGACTACGAATGGTAGTTGGACAACTGCAATGGGCTGCGCGAGTGATATGCTTCGAGGAAGCCTTCGAGGCATCCTGACTGGCATCTACGCTGGGAGCTCCGACGGTGAAGGATCTACAGGACGGCAGCGCGGCCATCAGGAGGATCCAGAAGCGGGCCGACTTGCTGATTAGGTTCTCAGCAGGCCTGAACCTGTGGAAGACCATGGTGATCAATGTCAGGACAGTGCTTTCGACAATCTGCCGAAGCACAGATCACAACGCGGACACTTCATCATGCTGGGCGACCAGAAGATCAACGAGGACCACAGTAACAAGTACAAGGTACACTGCATTGGGTGGCAGTCTTCCAAGATTCAACGAGTGGTGCGATCTACTCTATCGGCGGAGGCCTACTCATGTGCGGATTCGGTGGACATGCTAATATGGGCAAGGTCGACTCTGGCGGAGATCCTGTGCCCGGAGATGGACATGGCCGAGATTGCGCGCGACACCTGCCCGGTGAAATGCATTTCGGTGACCGACTGCAAGAGCCTATGCGACGCGATCACAACGGACAGGAGGCTTTCTTTGGAAGCGGCTATATTGCGGCAGTCGCTCAAAGAGGTCAGCATCAGGTGGGTCAAGAGTGAGCAGATGCTAGCGGACTGTTTGACAAAAGTACTTACAGGAGGCTACGCGAGGAAGATAGTTACATCAAATTTATGGACTCTTGGGCCTGATGACACTGCGCCATCAATACGCGGACGAAAGCTTGTTGGACCAGAGAAGGTGGCAGCCAACAAGGAGGTGGACGAGCTCAACGCGAAGATGGCCAGGTACGTCAAGCAGGAGCTGTACGATGACACCGGGAAGGACTACGAGGAGATCTCAACGTGGCCGGTGGAGACGTACAACTACGTGGACGAGTGCTTCTACGACGACAAGGACGAGGTTCAAGACGAGGACTACGTCGAGGCATTCTACACGGAAGAGCTAACGGACAACTACCCAATGGAGAGGAGTGGCGCGCAGAGAACCATCCAGATACCTGACCAAGTTGTAGTTCTGTTTCAATTTGTGCACTTGCAGTGTATGGAGTTTGTCTTTCGATGTCTCCTACGGTGGTGACAGTGGTCTCTATCATCGCGGGTATCATCATATTCATTTACGTAATGCAGCCTAAGCAGAACGACAACGAGGACACCGCTGAGCCGATGGAGGTGGATAGCTCAAGCAGCGACAGCCTGTTCAAGCCGGAGTTGCCCGTGAAGCCGGTCAAGGTCAAGTCCAGGGCGGCGAAGGCTACGCCGAAGGCTACGACGACAACACTCGCAGTACGAGCCGATCCAGAGACCTACGATGACGAGATCATGGGAGATGGACCAATCATGCTGGGAGATAGTGCTCTACTGAGACAGTGGCTGGAGACCATGGGACCAACGATAATCAGGAGTGGCAAGTACGAGGGCGACAGCTACGAGACAATCTATACGAAGGACAGGCACTACGCAAATTGCCTAGGACTGTGTCTCAAACTGGACGCAGACGAGAGCAGGAGTTATAATCTCGACCCGAACATCAAGGTTTACATTGCATACAGCATCATCAAGTCAGCAGTGCGTGTGCGCTGATCATCACTACTACATATGTGACGATATCTTGGAACCAGCCAAGGCAGTGGCTCAGATGTGAACGGTGGTGAGGATGATGAGTGATTTGGGTTACCATTTTCAGATGGTGAGTGATGTTTGGTCACCATCTGCAGATGAGGAGTGAAAACACCCCCTCAAGAGCTCAGGTAAATATTTCATATCTTGATATCTGTTGCTCGGTGCGCAGACCTCAGGTCAATATTTTATCTGTTGATCAGTGCGTGGATTTCTTTTATCGGAGTATCTGTTTCTCGGTGCGCTGATTTCTTTTATCTTGATATGTGTTGCTTGATCCACGGACGGTAGTTTGGCCGTTCGAGCTGAGAATATTTGATTTCTTTTCTTTTGAAATCTGTTGCTTGGTGCACGGACGATAGTTTGATCGTTCGAGCCGATAAATATTATTCAGTATTCTGGAGGCTTGCTGCAGAATTTGCCGAGGCATTCTTTAGCAACGTTTCCTTTTTTTTTCCTGTGTGAAAGTTATATTTGCAAGGATGTGAGTTATAAGATGATGTTTATAATTATCTATGTTATTGCTCTCGCTCGCTCATGCTTGCACTCTCTTGTTCACTATTGCCATTTGTGGCTTGGACCCGCCCAGCTGAGGCGGGAGGGTGGACGCACCTATCGAACGCTGAGTTTGATTCGGTATAAGATATCATATAATTTGCCTGTTTCTTCTTGCATCAAGAGGTTGTGGGTGGAGAGATTTGGATCATTATTTACACTCCCTCCGCGCCTCCCCCTCTTCTCTCCTTCCCTCTCCTCCCGCCCCCTCCACCCCCGTCCTTCTTTGCCAACCCGAGGAGCGCTCGGCCTCACACGGGCCCCAATACGCCAGGGTCGACGGCGACATCGAGACACTCTGGCAGAGGCCGGACTGCAAGCCGAGGGGCATTTTCTTCATGGCGCACGGCTGCCACCACCAGGCGCCGGACTTCTGGAGCGAGGTGGGTCCCGACGGCAGGGTGTTCGAGGGCTGCGCGCAGTCCTACCTCGGCCGGTGCCTGGGCCTGCCAGAGGAGGCGAGGGTGCGCGACGCGGCGCTCGCCCGCTGCTACGTGGCGGTGGCGGTCTCCGGCGGCAGGGGCTTCCAGAGCTGCTGGCTCTCAGTATCGCTGAACCGATCCCCAGCCCCGTCCCCATCCCGATCCCCACCATCCCGCCACCCTGGTCAGGGATGGGCTCCTGGACCCCCATCCCGATCGCCACCATGCCCATCTCGATCCCCACCACCACCATGACTGAACCGATCCCGAGCCTCATCCCCATCCCGATCCCCACCATCCCGCCACCCCGGTTGGGGATGGGCTCCTGGACCCCCCTCACGATCACCACCATGCCCATAACGATCCCCCCCACCACCATCGCTGAGCCGATCCCCAGCCCCATCCCCATCCCCATCCCCATCCCGATCCCCACCATCCCGCCACCCCAATTGGGGGTGGGCTCCTGGTAGGAGCCCGGAAGGAACAGCTGGTATCCCCATCCAGGGCAGCAAATCGGCCAGGGATCCCCATCATCCCGCCACCCCTGTTGGGGATGGGCTCTTGGACCCTCATCCCGATCGCCGCCATGCCCATCCCGATCCCCACCACCACCATCGCTGAACCGACCCCCAGCCCCATCCCCATCCCGATCCCCACCATCCCGTCACCCCAACATGGGCTCGTGGACCCCCATCCCGATCGCCGCCATGCCCATCCCGATCCCCACCACCACCATCGCTGAACCGATCCCCAGCCCCATCCCCATCCGGATCCCCACCATCCCGCCACCCCAACATGGGCCCCTGGACCCCCATCCCGATCGCCGCCATGCCCATCCCGATCCCCACCACCACCACCATGGCTGAACCGACCCCCAGCCCCATCCCCATCCCGATCCCCACCATCCCGCCACCCCCACCCCAACATGGGCCCCTACATGGATCCCGCCGCCCTGCCGATCCATGCCCATCCCGATCCCCACCACCACCATCGCTGAACCGACCCCCAGCCCCATCCCCATCCCGATCCCCACCATCCCGCCACCCCAACATGGGCCCCTGGACCCCCATCCCGATCGCCGCCATGCCCATCCCGATCCCCACCACCACCATGGCTGAACCGATCCCGAGCCCCATTCCCATCCCGATCCCCACCATCCCGCCACCCCAGCTGGGGATGGGCTCCTGGACCCCCCTCACGATCACCACCATGCCCATAACGATCCCCCCCACCACCATCGCTGAGCCGATCCCCAGCCCCATCCCCATCCCCATCCCCATCCCGATCCCCACCATCCCACCACCCCAGTTGGGGATGGGCTTCTGGAGGCCCAGAAGGAACAGGTGCCATCCCCATCTGGGCCAGTGAATAGGCCAGGGGTTCCAGCCCACGGACGTGGGGCCCAGACCCCCGACGTTATGGTTTTTCCACGACGTCGACCCCCGGAAGTCTTGACCCACTCCCCCAGATCGGCTTCCCCTCCCGAGTCGCTTACTTGACCGCACCGAAGCCTGGCGAGGGCTCCCGGAGGCCGACAGCAGCGAAAAACCCCCTGCCGCGGCGTTTTCACAGCGTGAGGGGGTCTGGGAACGAGGACCGTCACAAGTTGAACGCCGACGGCGACCCAGAATGAGTCGATGTTGCACGAACCATCGTTCAAGGTCCAACGGTCCGACGTTTCGGAAACGGCCCATCCTTCCAGGTTGAACGATTCCCGCGGTGTCAGAAGCCAACGCCGAAGTCGGCAGGACATGAACTTGCCGTGAATTTGCCAGTTGGGCCCAGGCCACGCCCGTAGGGATGGAGGGATCGATAGGATGAATGGAATGAAGCCGCGTGTCCGCAGGCACAGAGCAAAGGTACGAGCGCGCGCTAGACGGTATACTTGCGCACTGCTGCTTCCCAGGCTTTCTCAGGGGAGGTACCAACATTTTACATCATATACTGCAACCGATCTCGTGACACGCTCGCTGCGCGCGCCTATGCAACTCTGACGCCCGCGCCTGCCGGTGATCGGCTCAGACGATGTTCAGGTTAAGTCGGGCCTGTCCCTCTACAGGAGGAAAGTTCAAAAATAGTCAAAAAAGAGTCTGGCGACGATTTGTTTAGCATGTTTTGAGCAGTATTGCATATTTTTGACTACTTTTTGAAATTTGTTCGTCGAAAATCGGCCTGTAGGGTGACAGGGTCGACTTAGTGCTCAGGTTCGGCGCGGACGTCGGGCGGGTCGCCAGGGCGCTGGCGCACGTGCGCGGCGCCGAGGGGTTGGCGCCCGACGCGCCCGTGCTGGCCACTGGCGCCTCCAGCGGGGGCGCGTTCCTGGGCATGCTGGTGCAGGCGCCAGGCGGGCTGGAGCACGCGAGGTGCACCGGGGCCTCGGGCGTCCTCGCAGTTCCCCTGAGATCTTCAAGATCGCCACCTGCATGCTGCTCGCGTCGTCATCGTCGTCGTCGTCGCTCGTCGCTCGTCGCGTCGTGCGCGCGGGCGCAGCTGTGGTGCCGGAGCCACACGGCGGGGGGGTTCGTTACGTCATACCCCTCCCCCGCGCCCTCCCCCCCCCCATGACGCCCGTCATCGCCGAACATAAAAGAAACGCGCTCTTGACGTCGCCATGTTTTTCACAACGGGCGTTTTCTCTCAGCTTCAGGCCCTGGGGGCCCTCACAGGCCGATCCGCTTCACAAAATGACACAGAAAGATGGGGTCCGGGGCTCCAGTCGTGATTTTTGCGACGCTGCAATTTCCTGGCAACGTCGGATCTCAGGGTGGCGTCCTCGCAGACAGAGGGGTGAAACGGAAAATATGGGATGAAAGAGCGAGAACGCTAAGCTTGGATGGGGGAGGAGCAGGAGGAGGAGGAGGAGGAGGAGGAGGAGGAGGAGGAGGAGGAGGAGGAGGAGGGGAGGAGGGGAGGAGGAGGAGGGGGGATGAGGAAAGCGCCGATGGAGCGTCGATTCGCGTCGAGGAGCGCCAGGTGCTCTGGCGTTGCGCAATGGTCGGCGGCTGCAGTGGGTGTGGTTACGCCGGGGTGTGGTCTGCGATCTGCGCTGGCCAGGGTCTGGGCGGCACCACGCTGCGCTCGTCGGGCCCCCCCGGGGCGCGGCGGAGAACTCTGTCGAGGTCCTCGCCCGCCCCCCTGGGCGTTGCGTATTGGGGGGGCGATGCTCAGACCCTCTCGGGTCACGAAAAAAGTCACGACGGGAGTTTTGTTGAATTCTCACTGCGCAAGGGAAGTTTTTGTTGTGGTGGTGGTGGTGGTTGTTCTTGTTGCTGCCGCTATTGCGAAGGCCTTTACGGTCAGTGCCGCCGACCCTGAGAACGACGAAGATGAAAACGAGGGGGGGGGGGGGCAGGGGGAGGAGGATGAGTGGGAGGTGGAGGAAGGGTGGAGGAGGTGGATGAGGGAGGAGGAGGGGGGAGAAGGATGTGGAGGAGAAGCAAGAGGAGGAGAAGGAGGCAGAGGAGAGCAGGAGGAGGGGGAGCAGAGGGGGGGGAGGGGGAGGAGGAGGAGGAGGAGGAGGAGGAGGAGGAGGAGGTGGAGGAGGAGGAGGAGGAGGAAGAGGAGGAGAGGCCAGAGGCTTTCTTGGGACAGCCTGGGGCTCTCTTGAGGCCGTCTTGGGCCGTCCAGGGCTCCTCTTGCGCCGTCTCGAGGCACTCTTGGAGGCCTCCTGGGCAATTTGGGGCTCTCCTGGGCTGTCTTGGGGCAGTTTGGGGGCCCCTTGGGAGCCTCTTGGGGCCTCTTGGGGCTTCTTCGGGGCCTTTTGGGGGCCTCTTGGGGCTGAGAGCTCGAAATGTCCGTTCGGGTCCCCCGTCTGGGCACTCTCCTGCAGCCGTCTTGGGGGCCTCTTGGGCCGTCTTGGAGGCGTGTTGGGTCGTCTTGGGGCCCTATTCGGCCGTTAGTGGACCCTCTTGGGGGCCTCTTGGGCCGTCTCGGGTCGATCTTCGGGGCCTCGTGGGCCGTCTTAGCGCGTCGGGAAGCGGAAGAGGCAAGAACGCCAACATCTTTCAAAAACGTATCGGAAATCCATGAAATTTGCCTCTTGGGGCTCTCGTGGGAAAGCTCCTGGAGGCCTCTTGGGGCGCTTTGCAAGCCTCTTGGGCCGTCTGGGGGCCGTCAAGGCATCTTGGACAGATCGTTCGGCGATTGGGGGTTCTCTTGGACTGTCTTTGGGGCCTCTTGGGGCGCTCTTGGCCCGTCTTGGGGCTTTTTTGGGCTCTGGGACCCCCGGGGGGGGCTTCGTATCCGTATCTGACCCCCCCCCTTCCCCCCGGGACCCCCCTTCCCCCCCCCCCTGGCGGGGGAGGGATCGAAGCTTCCCTTCGACTCAATTACGACGTTGCTCAACTTTGCTTTGGCTGGCGCGCTGAGGAGGTCCCTGGGAAAGGAGGGAGCTTCGACGAGCCACGAGAAAGGGGGGAGGCAGGGAAAGGGGGCGACAGAGACGACGACCAACGAATGACGGAGATGACGACTTGAACGGACAAGCCCCTCACACACGCCGACAGGGTCGGCGGATTTTCAGCCTCTGGGGGCCCTCGCTAAGCTTCGGGACCGGCAAACACGGCTCGGGATGAAAAGTCGGTCTTGGGGAATGGGTCGAGACCTCTGGGGGGTCGACACATAAGCACAATCATGACGTCGGGGGTCTGGGCAATGGGGGGGGGGGAAGAAGAAAGGTACACCTTTTGTCGCCTAGAGGGCCCCCTTAAGGAGCCCCCCTGGGGCCCAGAAGGGGCCCGAACAGTGCACGTTTCTCCCCCCTCCTTTTGTCGCCCCACCCCCCCACGAAGCAGCGCCCCAAGGTGCATCGTGCCCCAGGTCAGCCCGCTGGGGATCTTCGGCAAGTGGAGGCACGGCATCCCCGTGCTCTTCGTGCACATGCCCAGGCCCTTTGCTCGGCACCGCCCGCGCCTGCTCGTGCCAGGTGCAGCTCCAGCTGCACACAGGCTTGGGATCGCTCGGACGTGTGCATTTTTCCTTCGGCGAGGACCATCGAGGAGCATCCTTGATCATTTGGCGCAAAAAAACCACGCACGAAACCGAAAAAAACACAGGGAATGGACGTCCGAGCGATGCCCAGCAGGGCGATGCGCGCGCTCGGACATCTCATGGTACATGGGCTCCGTGGCGGGCGCTGTCTGGCCATGCCGCTCGGGAAGCTGCGTGCCACAATATTCCAGGAGGGGAAGAACACACAGGCAAAATTATCGTCGACTCCCAGGAAAGTATGGGAAAATATGGGAAGTGGGGGGGAAGACAGAAACCCAGAAGATATGGCAAACTATGGGGAATCCTGTTATTTGAGTGTATTCATTTGTGTGTCCCTGGGCCCCTTTCAATATTGTGTATCATCTGTCGGGGTCGGACGTGCGCCGCCAACAGAGGCACACAGTGCTAGTGCGTCCTGGTGCGTCTCCTTCGCTGCAGCTCCTGGGGGGGTCAGATCCAGCATCGGCCCTGGTGTGTCCGCGGTCGAAGGCCGTCCTTGCCCCGGCCGAGTCCCGTCCAATCCGTCCCGCCCAGCCTGGCTCGGTTCTGGGTCCAAGTTGGCCCAATGGCCCCCTCAATTGGGCCCAAGTTGGCCCAACGGCGGCCCCTGCCCCACGGGCCGCCCGGGAGTGGCCCACCAACCCAGGGACGGCTACACGGAGGACCAGGTCGTCGACGATAAGATGGCGCTGGAGCAGGGCCTGGGGGGCGGCGCCCGGGTGGCTGAGCTGAGGGTGAAGCCCCAGAGGGTCACCGCGCAGCTTCTCGAGCCTTGCCTGAACAGCACGCTGGCGGCCGCTGTCGCGGAGGCCCTCCGGGCGAACTCCAGCATCGTGGGCCGCGACGGGCTCCTGGTCCGGGATGCCCGGGCCAGGGACTGGGTGGAGACGGTGCGGGCCGCGATCGCTGGCGAGAGCAACGATTCGCTGGCCCCCGACGAGAGCTGCATAGCCGAGCGGATGAACGTCGCTTGGGCGTGGCACGAGTTCACGGGTCGGGGGATGCTACAGGTGCCCCTGGCCCAAGGTACCCCCGGCTTTTCGGTCCATTTTGGAGCCCCTGGGGCCCTCTGGCCTCGTGATGGGTTCTTCGGAGGCCGTTGGGGCCTCCTTGGGAACTCTGGGGACACCTTGGGCCAGGGTCACTTCTAGCAACCCCCGAGCGGGGCAGTACGCGGAGGAGATGCTGGACTTCTGCGAGGAGAGGGGCGTCTTCGCGAGGAACGCCTCGAGGGCTGCGGCGGCCCACGCGCCGTGAGGCGTTCCGAGGGCGTGGCCGCCGCGTGCTCAGTGGCGCCCCGCCGCCTGGTGCCCAGTTGCGGGAGAGAAGAGGCCAGCGCTCTGCTCGGATAGGGGACCTGGCGCAGCTGGGGGAGGGGATGGTCGGGGGATGGGGAGGCGGAGGGGGGAGGATTGAGGAGGAGGAGGAGGAGGAGGAAACAGGGTGGAGGGAGTGATGATGATGATGCTGATGCTGATGCTGATGATGATGATGATGATGATGATGATGATGATGACGATGATGATGATGCTGATGATGATGATGGTGATGGTGATGGTGATGGTGATGATGATGATGATGATGATGATGATGATGATGATGATGATGATGATGATGTGGCTGCTGCTGCTGCTGCTGCTGCTGCTGATGATGATG